GCCCATCCCGCCCCGAGGGACCCGCGCCCCAACCCCGGGCGGGAGAAAAATTTAACTCCTAACTATCGCCTCTCAACCACTTGAGCATCAATTCTTCCTAGGAGCACGCTATAACGCATAGTCATGAGTTTCTCTCTCTCTCTATTGGCATATGGTGTTATCTTGGGACTCCAAGCACACTTTCCGCACCTGGTTTCAAAATGTCTCCGTGGGCGGTCGGTGCCGGCACCCTTTCCTTCCCTTTTCCCCCTGCTTCCCCTTCTCCCCTTGTTCCCTCGGGACTTCCCATTTCGCTGGTTTAAATTGTCTCCGTGGGTAGTGCAGGAAACATTGTAATTAAATTTTCAAAATGATTGAAATTATAAAATTGGTTAAATAGCTTAACATGCGAAATATCATTCCTTACATCTTGTATCACTACTGTGGGGTACTATGATTGGTGTTGTAATGAATAAAGCGAGAATGTTAACTTTAAATTTTGAAGAAAAAAAATATTATGTACAAATTATCGAGATAAATGGTGTGGAGAGAAAACGAATCATTCAATGGCAATGACACTTTTTGAGGGTCAAGTTGTCATCTCGGGAACACTTTTATGTATCTGTTTGATCATAATGAATCCTTAGCTCGTATTATAATTAAATATTTTAATTGTTAGTTTGAAATAAAAAAATGTTTAAAAATACTCATAAAGGTAATACTACTTTGGATACAGTCGAGAGCAAAGCGCTTCTTCCTTTGGCAGAATAAAAACCCTGCTATCCAACGATAGGTCGGCGCTGGATCTCTCCCTCCAGCGGTGGGAGATTACCTCCACCACCCGCGATAAAACACTCTGAACTTTCGAGTCCGACGACCTTGGCAGTCAGCGCGCCCGGAATCAACCATACATCTTCATCGAGTTCAATATTGGAAGTGTTCGGAATGCGATGAGTAAGGGCCCCTCCCTCACATCGCCACCGCGGCGCGCTTTCCAACACCGCGGCTCGTAGCAGAGGATTGGTTTGAATGGAGATCTTCCTCCATGCCCCGGGTTTACGCCGCTGTGGCGTTCGGTGCCGGACTCCCGCTACGAGAAGCGAAGGAGGGCAAACGCGCCACCGCTAGCAGCATACAGCTTTAAATGATGGTATTCCCACTGCGCCGCCGGTGACGTTTTACCTGTTGCGGTCCCTTTGTTCGTCGTCGCCGGAGGGTCGGCGAAACCGATCCCAGCAGAACCCTTCCACGGCGAGCGGCCGTGGCGTTGTTGGAAGAGCCCTGCCGTTGACGGTACCGCGCCGCCGGGGCGACGTGTGAAGGCGCTCTAAAGGCCCGTTCGCAATGCAAACGTAAACATAAGCATAACGCATAGAAGTAAACATTAACATTAGTGATAGATTGAAGTATTCTCAATGTCCGACATAAACGTAAGCAATATAAGAGTTTCTATTGGCTTCGAGACATTCTAATTACGATTGGTTGGATGTGAGAATCGATTTTGATGTATCGACTATGTGCATGGCCCGTATGGCATTAGTTAGTGTGTCGACTTCGCTCATATTTCGATTCTCGATTTTTAGTTCTCCTTCTGTGATTGGTTCATTTCTTATGTAGCACAGAAGCTTGAAGTTTGCAAGCTTTAAAGTTAACGTCTTCCGTGTTATGCATACGCGAACGCATTGTGAATGAGTCCGCTTATGGGCGTGTTGCAGGAGCCAGCATGGGCGCAGCGGAGGCGGAGCCGGCGGCGGCGCCGGTGGAGGCTGCGGCGGAGGAGGAGCCGCTGCTGGGCGCGCTGGACGTGGTGCTGCTGGCGGTGCTGCTGGCGGGCGCCATCTGGTGGCTGATGCGCTCGCGGCGGCAGCGCGCCGAGGCGGCGGCGGCGGCCGCGGCCGCGCCCAAGTCCTACTCCATCCAGCCCACGGCGCTGGGCGCGCAGCCCTCCGACCAGTCCTTCGTGAAGAAGCTGCGCTCGTCGGGGCGCAGCCTCGTCGTCTTCTACGGCAGCCAGACCGGCACCGGCGAGGAGTTCGCCGGCCGCCTGGCCAAGGAGGGCATCCGCTACCGCCTCAAGGGCATGGTGGCCGACCCCGAGGAGTGCGACATGGTGCGGACACCCCCCCTTCCCCTTCTCATGGCAGGGTTCCGGTAACAGGGTGGCCACTTTCTGGAAAACTGAAAAGATCAGGGTATATCATTGCTCTGGAAAAGTGAGGGAAAATTAGGGAATTTGTAAAAAAAACATTAGAAAACTCGGGAAATTCTGAGAGGGCTGTAAGACAAGCTGTTATTTCTTAAAAACAGAAACACAGCGTTATTTTTTGCTCGTTTTTTATTTGTTGCAAAACTATTGTTAATTTTTTGTTTGTTCTGGCTTAATCGGAAAACTGCCCAATTAATTTCATGCTGCTTTCAATATTTTTTTAGTTCGAAATTATAATTTTTATCGAGAAACTATTTATAAAATGAACTAGAAAGAAAAGTTGGGAAAATTTGTTGGAGGAAGTAAGTGGCCACTCTGTTTAAGGGCTCCGCACATACGGCATTCGGCGAATAGCGCGCGACTGCTCGGCTCATGGCCGTGGTGCTCGTGATTGTTCGTTCCCATTGAAATGCCTGGTAGACTAACATGCTGCGGGTGGGGCGAGTACCGAATGTTTGGCGCCCGGCAAACAGCACGCGATTCATCCTCAACACTCGCGATTCCGCGACCGGTCGCTTGGTACTTGCTGAATGCCAAATGTGTGGAGCCGTCTTAAGCTCATTTTGGTTTCATTATTGTAGAGCTTTCTTTTCACTTCCCTGTCTTGTACATACATTTCTATTACATTAGATTTCCGTTCCAGAAGCAAAAGTGATTGTATCAGCCCTTGGGAATCAGGGTCCATTGGCCTACACATTGTTTACATTATTTACACCAGTTTATACAATATTTAAGAATTCATGTAAACGATCACATGATAACTTTTCAACAGACACATACGTATTCACTTTGATTTCCCGGCTGGGACTATAGTGGCTTTCATCCTCGATTGATAGTGATGGAAATCGTGAATTCTCGGCTATCCGGGAGACGCCGCGTCGTTGGCTGGGGTGCCCCAGCCAGCCGAGAATTCATGGATTCGAGCCGCGGAAGCTTACGTATACAGTGATGGAAATCGTTTAAACTAGACAGATACCAGGTACTGCAGGGACTTCAATTATATTTTCAGTTAATTGGTGAGACGTTTTATCTTGAGATATCTGAGACACTATCTGAGAAGATCCTTCGTATTGTATCCGAGATAATTACATTTATATTTGCAATGTTTTCTCTATTTAGCGGTTTTTTACAGCCTTGGCCGTTTTCCGCATCCCAATTTCCTTGCCTCTTTATCCCATAGATCGTTTTCCTCCATTTCTCTTTTTTCCATGACTTCAGTTATTGCCATGTTCCATGTTCTTCTCGGTCTTCCCGTGTATCTTCTCCGATTTGGTATCCACTCCCAAACTTTTTGAGGAAGTCTAGTTATTTCATTTCGATCGTCTCGTTCAAGGTTGTTTGCACTTTCATTTTATTTCTTATTTCATTTCTTATTTTATCTAACAGAGAAAGTTCACATCTTCGCCACAACATCATTTCCGTTGATTGTAATTTGTCTTTCAATTTTTTTGATAGTGTCCAGACTCCTGCCTCATATTGTGACACTCTCTATGAAGGAGTTATATATGCATTTCTTTGCCTTCATTGAAATAATTGAGTTCCATTGCACTGGATTCAACTGTCTGCCGTTAGTGTGACTCCCAAATACTTATATTGTGTTTTACGTTTAATTATTCATATACTAGTCTCTAAATCATGTAGCATACCTCCCACCACCATATATTCAGTTTTTTGTAAATTTATTTCCATCCCCCATTTTCCATACTCTTCTACTAATTTTCTGAACAAATAAGTTACAGCATCTTCATCTTCAGCCATTATCACGTGATCGTCTGCAAATAGTAGACTAAACAATGTTTCATCATTTATTTTCACACCCATGCTTTTGCACTTTCTTTTCCATTCTTTTAGGGCTTTATCAATGTATATCTTAAACAGGGTTTGAGATATACAGCAGCCTTGCCGTAATCCTTTATTTACTGGGAAGTAGTCTGATAGACATTTTCCCACTCTTACTTGATTTTTGTTATCTTTATAAAATTGTTTGACTGCATTCATGTATGTTGTTGATATTATTTTTTCTTACTTCTTTTACTGGTACATTATCATAAGCCTTTTTGAGGTCAATGAAAATTATGTGAAGTTCTCTTCCTCGCTCAATTGTTTTTTCCATCAGTTGTTTGAGACAGAAAATATTGTCAATACGCGATCTTCCTGGTCTAAAACCACTTCTGAGTCTGATGTTTGCATTTCAATTCTATTCTTTAGCACTCGTCCATACAGTCTAACCATAGATGAAATCACACTTATCCCTCTATAATTATTACAATCTTTTTACAACCTTTTTTGTAAATTGAATTTATGTAGGCTAATTTCCATCTTTCAGGTATTTTACCTCCTTTTAAAATGCCATTAAATATTTCAGTAATTAATTCGAAACCTACGATAGGATAATGTTTAACCAGCTCTATGGATGTACCTCCAGGCCCAGGTGCTTCATTATTTTTCATGTTTTTAACACTTTTTTTAACTCTTCCAAAGTCACATCTGGTATGATCGAATTTACGTTCAGTGTTTCATAATTTATTCCCTGAAATTTAGGTCTTTTTTTCTGTCAAAAGATTTTCATAGTATTTTTGCCATTTTTCAATACCAATTGGGTCTACTAAATGCCATTCTTGGGTTGTATTCAATTTCAAGGAATGTAACATTTTCCATACTTCTCTGGATTTGGTGTTACCAATGCATTTGTCTAATCTGTCACAATTTTGTTCCCAGAATACATTTTTTGCCTTCTTCACTTCTTTCTTGACCAAATATTTCATTCTGTTGTATTCACTTCTATCTTCTAAATCCTTTGTGGAAAGCCATCTCATACATAACTTTTTCTTTTCTTCGACCAGGTTCTTTATATCTTCTGTCCACCACAAGTCTTTTTGTTTATATTCACAATTTCCTTTCTCTCCCGAAGCTTCTTTAGCGGCTTCATGAGTACATGTTTCTAAAAATTGGTATTTTTCTTCAGTATTTCCAATGGGATGTACTTTAATTTTTCTGTCATGCGCAATTTGTACAAAAATTACAATATTTTCAACAATTGCAAAATACAATATTTGCAATGTTACTATGGCAAAATAACCTAATGGTAAAATTAAAAACGTGATTGTGAAGTTTTGTTACTAGAGGTAGACATAAACGAGTTTTATTATGCTTTTGTGTCGAACAGACATATTTTGAAAACTACAGATGTGTACATTCAAAATATAAAGATTTCAAAACCTACACAGTATGTTTATAGCTGGGGAAAACGTCTTGTGAATTCTTTTATCAGACAGTTTATTTCGTTGGGTGTCAGTAGTATTAGAAATTTACACTCGCGTAGTACTTTTGCACATTACGCAAGGTATGTTGTAGGCTTGCAAATATTCATAAATCGTAACGCTTAGGTAAATTATGATTTCTCAGATACATGTAAATACACGACTGTTTCGTCGAGCGACGTAACAAAAAAGAGAAAATTACCGTAGTACTATGTAGTTGAAAGTGAAGAGTGCACATTGCCCAAGTATTTTTTCTTTGGTAATTACGCAAGTATTTTTCCACGCACGTGAGAAACTTAGACGTTCATATTGTTTCACAGGAGGAGTTAACTAGCTTGAAGGAAATATCAAACTCGCTAGCTGTGTTTTGCCTTGCTACGTACGGCGAAGGTGATCCCACGGACAATGCGATGGAGTTCTACGAATGGCTGCAGAACGGGGATCCAGATCTCGCAGGACTTAACTATGCGGTGAGTACTTTATTCATATTTTTATATTTTATACCTAAACACGAAAAACGCAGCTACATCGCGTATAGGATGAGATGTACATTCACGATTAGTTTCATTTTTTGCGAGTAAAGACTCGTCTCGTGGGAAAGAAAAAAACATGGTAGAAAGTTGACGAATTAATTACACACGGGACTGTATTAAAACATATAAACTCCAAGACAAGAAAAATGTTTTGAAGTTATCATGGCTTAGGAATCATACTTTCTAATGTGCTAATTATATTTTCTCCTTGATTTATATGTACTTAATAGTTTAATTCGGCTGATCTTTGAAATCCATTTACAAAGATTTAATTATTTATTGAGTATTTATTTATTAGAGCTAAAAAGTGGAAAAAAACAGCTAAATGTGGTGTATGGGAAAGAAATATACTCTGCGCATTATTTCTTGAGCTCCAGAATCCGTACCCTTCTCTATTTCTATACTTTGTTGAATTATGAATAAAGGTAGCAAGTAGAATTTTTGGCAAAACTTGATCACAAGAAATATTCGTTCCCATGTAATGTAAACCATCTGCATCGGTAAAGTTTACAATAAATTAAGAATACGTCTTAAATTAAAATGAAGTGAGTTGTGGAGTTAAAATATTTTCATAAGTCGCTCAACCTTTAGAGTAATTAGTAAGAGAGGGTTTTGAAGTATTAAAATGCGCTCGCAAACGTGTTCTGTGGAATAACGAAACATACACGATTGAGGTTAAAAACAAATGAAATAGGCACTATCAAATTTTTCAGTGTCACTCATTTTTTAGTTTTCATTTTGTGTATTATCTTTAGTCAGTTTTTTATATTTGAAAAAAAAACGCATTAGGAGTACTTCAAGACAAGGCGTAATAGGAATTCAAGTTCGACATTTGCAATTTAATCACTTCTCACTTAAAAAGCTAAAACAACCTTTGCATGGAAAGTCCCCACAAACACTTTTTCTTCTGAAGAGGCCATTATACTTGTTTTCCCAGAGTCCCATTGCACGAAGCAATATCCTAGCCGTTCGCAACATCTGTCGCGGATAGGTGAACCCTTTCTGTGTGTCTGTCAGGGGTCAGTCGGCATGCAGTCTGCTACTCTTTTATTTCCGGCTGAAATATTACCGCATACTTTTCAGATACCACTTTCTAGAAAGGAAATATTTTGAATGTCGATTTACTAGGAATGAATTCCAGCAGTGACAATGATGTAAATATGATTGATTAGGAGGATATGTTTTTTTGTTGTTGTTTGTGTTTTTTACAAAACGGGAGTCTATTCTTAGCTGCATTTATTCCAAGCTTCCGAGAGTTCTAAAATGCGCAAATCAGCAATAAAAGATGTGACAGCTACATTGTCTGTTGCCAGGTCGCTTTTTATGCGTATTTTATGCTACTTTCAATTTTTTAGTAACATTTCATTTTTAATATAATTTTAAAGTGGACATAATGCTCACAAAAGTTGTAATAAAACGTTTTTTACATTCTAAATGTCATGTTATTGGGGGAAACAAATGATCATGCATTAAGCTTGTACTGTGAAAAGCAAACGTCGAAACATGCCCAAGAAAGTGCGCATGCTTTAAATGGCATTGCCATGATTGGCAATGACTTAATTGTTTCATGCAGTTTCATAATATAAAATGTTTTATAACTTTAGTACGCCTACATAAAATCCTTCATTTAGTATATGGAATTCCTGTTTCTAGAAATGTGTAATTTCCTTGAATAGAACATTTTTTTTAGTTTTCAGTGAAGTTAAACAAATATTATTGTAATGTTGGGAGATAAATGCACGATTTATTATTACGCTGTTCATCAAACTATCGCTAAAACTATCACTAAGTCAGAGTAAGAAATGTCACTATAAATTCCAGCAATGACAATTATGCGATTGAGCAGGAGAATATGGTTTTTACAAGATTTCGCTTGTAACTAAACAAACGCGTTACTAGCCGGTTAATGTAGTACACTTGAGTCATTTGATCAAAGAATGCAAAGTCATGACTGGGTGATTGGAAGTATCGGTGAGCATGACATGGTGACATGCGAAAAGCAATATTCGAAATATTTATGCAATCCAAGACTCCCCAGTGCAGTCAATCCCAGTCGCCGAAACGAATTTAATCTGAAACACTTAGACTGCGCCCACGTGATGCGATTTTACTCCATGAAATTGCTCGCATGAAGATAAAAGTCGCAGGAGCAACATGAATCGAATGCGCTAAACCACTCTGTCCACACTGGGTTTAGTTCACCATTGGACCTGACGGCATGCGCTGACGGTACTGCATCACGCGAATGAAGATAGAAAAGTATTGGTGTGGTGGAAATTTCTAGACAAACTACACTTGAGGAAAGAATATTTTACTCTCAAATCTAAATCGCTAAAATGCCGGACCAAGAGAGAAGGTTCAGGGCATCAACTGATGTTACGGCAGTCCCTTTGACCGAAAGATCCTAAGTACGAGTCCCGACGGTGGCAGTATCTTCAACACTAGCTTGTCAGCTAGGTCGAATCCGGTCGCTGTCTGGAGGAGAATTCTAGCGGCCGGCTGCTCTGAACGGTAGTTTTTTCGATCTACACCAGGCGACCCCGGAGCAGTTCCCTAACAAACGGGCCACAGACCGCGAGCAATCTTTTCCACCTCTTCCTTGTCCTATCATCACCCCTTAAACACACTTACATTGCTGGGGCGGTGCCCTACTGGTTCCTAGTTTGGTCATGATACCTGCTTTGGGAAAACCCCGCTAGCCGATAACTCCGGTATGTCAGCGCCGGATCTCGCCATACAGCGGGGGAAGACCACCGCCGCCTCCCGAGTAATAAACATGCACTACGCTTACAACAATTGCTCTAGTAGTTGACGCGCTATCTCACTAGAAGTTGACGCTGAATCACTAACAATCAATCTAAAATATCGAAGAAAGAGAGATATCCCAGTTTACAAAAACTGCTCCAAATTTGTGGATTGGCTTTTTTAATCAAATAGATAAAATCTCGCTTAAAAATTGCGCTCGCTTTCGTCTATCATTGAATTTGTGAAATTTGCAAAAGTTTTTGGAACAAAGTGCGCGGGGTAGAACTGTTTGGTTTGACTGTTCACGTACCGCAACTGACGTCATGCGGCACGCGGAGACGTCCGCTGACGGATGGGGAGTCCCGCCGAGTGGGCGCTCCGGACGTGGCGGGCAGTGGGCGTCTGCCTGCAGACCTGCCTTGCCGCGCCTAGCAACTTGGGGTGGTAGTGATGAGAGAACTCGTTCGATTAATCGATTATTTGGTTGAAAAGTAACAATTTGTCGATTAAATGAAATTACATTTTTTATAATAATTAAAGGCAAATAAAATAGTTTGAAGACTTTAACTCTATCAACAAAATAGAATAATAAAAACTAAAATAATTTTTATCGTTTATATATTTATTTATGTCAAAAACGGTTAAAAACGGTGTGTGACGTGCTATGTTAATTGCTACATTATTTATATGCAAGATACAAATATCTTACGTATATTTCCCACTAGGCAAACAACATAGTACGTATGTAAGGCAAAATGTTTACTGTCTAGAATTTGAAATAAAAGTATAGAAATAGAGGAAAATAATAGGTTTCTTTCAAGTGGAGCAGCGTGCGGCGACTTTGTGTAACACACGTGGCGGCGGCTGGGTTCATCGAGAGCTCGTGCAGGGCGTCAACTGCACGTGCTCACGTGCAGCGCAACTGGCGACCTCCAGACACACTAATGAAGTCGTAATGGCTGGAAGCGACGCGAAGTGCATGTTTTGGCACGAAAAGCTGATAAACGCAGAGACCTCGGGGCTTGTGAACGAAAGGATGTTGGCCCCAGATGATAAATATGCATTAGAATAAAAAATTTCACTGTAATTATGTTATAAATTATCAGATTTGGGCACTGGATTTTTTTTTATTCGCGTGCACTTTTAGAAATTTATATTTGGAGGAGTGGAGGACAATTTGAAACATATTTTGCAGGGGGAAAAATTGTGTTCCTAGACGTTCACGTATGAGTTTAGCGAAGGGGCTTCGCAGAGTTCGTCTGATTTCGATGTTCGCGTAATGGCTGAGAAACTGCGGATTCTACGTAGTAATTTGGCGAGATGCCGTGTCCGACGCTCAAACCGCTTCATGTCGTGTTGGAATGCCCCTGCTTCGCTTCTCTCTTCTAGGGGCTGTGTGCTTCCTCTCGTGAACAAAGGAGCACTTGCGAATAGTACCTGTGCTGATGGCAATGGTTCCGTAAAGCTCCTAATCTTCGCACTGTCTGTATTGAAAAAGTTTCAATAGCAATAACAAGTCCAGATTCTTACCAATGGACTTATGACAACCATCTTGCCGAACATCGAAGGAATATTGACGGCCTGCTTATTGCGGAAAGACCGATCAAAAAGCAAAGTCATGCAACGTATTTGATGCCAAGGGTCAAAAACACTATTTCGACAATTCAAAATGCATACATTTACATGATTACACATTTCCGCAATCAAAAGGTTGTCAACAATAACAAATTAAATATTCGTTCAGTTGGAGATGGCGAAGTTATAATTTTAAGTAAGTGGCGGTCAAATAAGCATATTAATTGTGTTCGTAGGATTCCGCTGCCGGAGTCATTGGATACTTCGTCGACCGGGATGAGCCGCATGTCAGTCGATCGAGCTGACGTTTCGACCATAGTGTTGTGGCCTTCGTCACAGCTATGTATTAGAGTTATGGTTAATTGTGGTTAGACGTGACGCATTTGAATAGATATTGGTTCAGAAATCTGAAAATTAGGCACGGAACTGGGCCGTCGCGTAGGTTATTTTTCCCGACAGCCCGTGAATATAAATCGTGAATTCTGAGCAGAGACTCCAGAGGTAAAAAAAAAATATATTTTGTGAAATTAGAGTTTCTCCGACAACGAAGTTTGTTCATCTCTCGACCCGTGCCTGGCTGGACCCTTCACTCTCCAGCCGCATCTCATTTGATTTGA